TACAAACCAGGAGGTCACGGTTTAATTCCCAGTCAGGGCATATGCCCAGGTTGTGGGCTCGATCCAGTGTGGTGCATGCAGGAGGCAGACAATCTATGATTCTCTCTCATCGTTGATGTTTTTCTCTCTCTCCCTCTCCCTTCCTCTCTGAAATCAATAAAAAATATATTAAAAAAAAAAAAAAAAGAAAGTAGTAAAGCCCGGCCGGTGTTGCTCAGTGAGCCAGGAGGTCATGGTTCCAGTCAGGGCACATGTCTGGGTTGCGGGCTCCATGCCCAGTGGGGAGCGTGCAGGAGGCAGACAGTCAATGATTCTCTCTCATCATTGATGTTTCTCTCTCTCTCCCTCTTCCTTCCTCTCTGAAATAAAAACATATACATATATATTTTTAAAAGTAGTAAAATTTATGGTTGTGTCCACTTGAGACCACCTCCTCCTATACAGCTGATGCTAAGTCCTTAACTTACTTTTCTCTTGGAAGACAGCAAGGAACAATGGGCAAGAGCTGAAATACAATCAGAACCGGTTGCTACAGGCATTGTGAGGCCTCGGGCAAGTTTCTTAACCTCTCCAAGCAGAAGTTTCTTCATCTCATGCCTCTGACCCCAAACGCCACAGTATGTCCCCCGGGGCTACCTGGACTTCCCGGACCTAGCAGGGAGGAGCCAAGAGGATCAAGGAGGAGTTGTATTTTTCAGGCCAGGTAACAATCTCAGACAGAAGAGCTCAGGATCCTGGACTGGCCTGAAGCCCCCACCCTTTGAACAAAGGAGGAGAGGAGGCCCCTGAATTAGCAGCAGAGCTGGGATAGATCTCAGGTCCCCAGACTACAACCAGTCTAGTGTGACTTCCTCATAGGCCCTTGGGGGGCCTGTGTTTTTCTGACACAGGCCCCAAGAGACTAATCATTCCCTCTTGGCCGGACCACCAGAATATGAAGAATAAGTAAATCCATAGAGACAAAAGGCAGATGGGTGGTTGCCGGGGCTGGAGAAAGGCGGGAATGGGGAGTAACTGCTTAATAGGTACATGTTTCCTTTTGGGGTGGTATTGTTGGAACTAGATAGAGGTGGCAGTTGCACACTCTCTCAATGTGCTAAATGCCACAGAATTGTTTGCTTTAAAATGGTGAATTTCAGCCCTAACCGGTTTGGCTCAGTGGATAGAGCATCAGCCTGCGGACTGAAGGGTCCCAGGTTCGATTCCAGTCAAGGGCATGTACCTTGGTTGCGGGCACATCCCCAGTAGGGGGTGTGCAGGAGGCAGCTGATCGATGTTTCTAACTCTCTATTCCCTCTCCCTTCTTCTCTGTAAAAAATCAATAAAATATTTAAAAAATAAAAATAAAAATGGTGAATTTCATGTTAGGTGAATTTCACCTCAATTAAAAATAAGGGTACAGGTCCTGGCCAGGTAACTCAGTTGGTTAGAGCATCATCCTGATACACCAAGGTTGCAAGTTTCCATCCTGGTCAAGATACATACAAGAATCAACCAATGAATGCATAAATAAGTGGAAAAACAAATCGATGTTCCCCCCCTCCCTCCCTCCCTCCCTCCCTTCCTTCTTCCTTCCTTTCCTCCCTTTCTCAAATCAATAAATTAAAGACAATAATTATAATGAAGGTACCTGTAGCTAAGAGATGAAAGGAATAAGAAGAGTGGGCACGTCCCAGGTAGGGGAGGGAAGGTGAAGGAGGGCTGAGGTATGAGGAAGGGAGGAGGACTTGGCCGTCTTCACTCAGCCTCTGAGCTGTTTGCTTCCTCTCAGACTTTAGACTGGAAGCTCCGGGGGGTGTGGCAGGGACCTCATCTTTTTAGCTGTTTTTAATTTTCAGAGCAGAGCGTCATCACGGGTATATGGATCTCTTAAAACCTCTGGCACCAGTGGAATGAAAGCAAACACGTTAAGCACTAGGAAGATTACCCACCGCCTACACCAGGGAAGTGAGGATGTCACTGGGCTAAGCGTGTGCCACCTCTGGGCTGCAGGGGAGCTGCCTGAGAATTCAAGGGCAGAGAGGGCCTGCCCGTCACACCCTTGCAGGCAGCACCCACTGGGGTCGGGATGGGGGAAGGGGATGGGGGAGCACCATGGCCCCTTTGTCAGACCCAGGAAGGAGACTGGGGCAGCTACAGGAAGGAGGGGTGAGGAGCTCCCTCCAGAATCTGTCCCTCTGCTTCCCTCCCCTCCACTTGCACAGCTCCTGCACATGCTCAGTGTGCCCAGGAATTGGGCTGGCTGGGGGAGGGCACTGAGTGGCACCCCCACTTAAAGGGACAGTGCCGTCCTTGCCTGCACCCAATAGAGGCAATGGGACCAGGCCACCTCTTTCCTCATGAACTGATTGCTTCACCTCGACCCCTTCCCCACTTCTGGAAGCTTCTTCTGCCCCCTCGGCTCCTTTGTCCGCTCACTACCTCTCCTCATCCCCCGACCCTATTGCAGGCAGGGTCTGTCTGCTGAACACAGGAGCTTCCACCTGAGGTGGGGGAGTCTTGGGTGGGGAAGAAATGAGGATCCCAGGCAGGGTATGAGGAGTGGTGGGAAGCTTCTGCAATCACTCTTGGGAAACATCTGCCTTCTGGGCCTCCCTCCCCTGGCCCAGGTGAGCACGAAGGTCCTGGAAAGCAAATGGACTTGAGAGAAGGCACTGGGCATTTGCTCTGGAAAGGCCGGAGGAAGAGAAGGGAGTGTGTCCAAGCCCATCTTCCCAGCTGAAGGGGGGGGTGTTGGAGATGGGAGGGGGCTGTAAATCGGAGCTTACATCATTGTGGTGGGTAGGGAGACGCTCAGGCCTCAGGACCAGTGGAGAGGGAAAGCGGGGGGCGGGGAATGAACCTGTGCCTGGTCACCTGCTGTAGCTGAGCTGCCTCTCCCCAGAGCTGAGCCTGGAGACCCCCAGCTCCACTGGGTGGGAGGGCAGAGGTCAGGGAACCAGATTGGGGGGGGGTGACATTGACTTCTTCACTAATCCCTTTCAGCTCCTGCTGACACTTCCCAGCTCACACCCTTTTCTTCATTTTCATCTTGCCCCATCCTGTCCCCACCTTTTTAAAAAAAATAAAACATATTTTTATTGATTTTGAGAGAGAGAGAAAAACATTGATGGAGTCTGCAATCCGGGCATGTGTCTTGGCCGGGAATTGAACTAGCAGCCTTTCGGTGCACAGGATAATGCCCGAGTCACACAGGCCAGGGCCACCTTGGGAATATTGACCCACCGAGGTGCAGTCCTGACCAAGTGTGTGTTTGGGGGTGCGGGGAATGTCTGTGTGTCTGTGTGTGTTGGGGGTGGAGAGGGCCAGCTGGCAGCTTTCCTGTCTCCAAGCTCCTCAGCTCTGGGCCAAGAAGGGCTGAACTTCTCACCTGCCCCTCCCCCGTGAGCAGATCTTGCCTACTTAGGGACAGCTGACCCAAGCCATCTCCAGACACCCCCACACACCCACCCCCCA